CTCTGCTCCAGGAGAACTCACACGACTTCAGAAACTGTAAGCGAATACTATGCACTTCTCCAGTGCGTGCGATACTGAAAACTCATAGACCTAACACATGTAGATGGGGAACTGTTTAGGTAGATTATAGTATATCTAGTCAAAGGACTAATACAGAGTTGTGATAAAGAATGAGACAAGTCTACATGTACTGAAGTGGAAAAAATTCTAAATTATGAGGATAGGTTAATATTATTTTATATATACACGTTTATATGTATATATATATATATATTTCTAATGCATTTGCTAACATATACACATGCAGATGTATTAGCATTTGGTTTTTTTTATTTTTTAAGATCTCATGTAGCCCAGTATGGCCTCAAACTTAGTGTATAACCAAGGCTAGCCTTGGGATTCCCGACAGTCCTGCCTCGCCTCTCAAGTGCTGGTGTTCACAGGGTGGGCCACACACTCTTCATTTTTCTTTCTTTCCTTTTTACAGAGTCTGACTAGGTATCTGGCTGGTATTGAATTCACCTACTTGTAGACCAGACTGGCCTTGAGCCCACATAGATCTGCCAGCCTCTGCCTCCTGAGTGTTAGGATTAAAGGCATGCACCACGTAAACACACCTTTAACAAGGTCCCACCATTTTCTCAGGCTGGCCTCAAACTCAGGTATCTCAAGCCAGTCCTACCCATAATCCTCTAATCTCAGCCTTCCAAGTGTGAAGGTCACAGGTGTATGTCAACATGCTCATCTTGAAAGCACTCAATATCCATGTAGGCTACTCCATAATGATTAGTTTTTGGTTTTAAAAATATTACTATTTTTTTTTTTGGTTTATCAAGACAAGGTTTCTCTGTGTAGCTTTGCGCCTTTCCTGGAACTCACTCTGTAGGACCAGGCTGGCCTTGAACTCACAGAGATCCTCCTGCCTCTGCCTCCTGAGTGCTGGGATTAAAGGTGTGTGCCACCACCACCTGGCTAAAAATATTTTTATAAGATAAAAAACTTAATTTAAAGTAAAACAATAAATGTATTTAAAAATCAAAGTACAATTATATTTTAATGTTGCATAAGAAAAAAACAAGATTTAAAGTAGGTGACATGTTAAGGTCACAGACTGAAGGGTAAAGACTAAGGAACAGATGGCAAGTGTACAGACTAGTTTATGCCCACTTGACACAAGCAAAAGTCATTTAGGAAAAGGGACTCTCCACTGAGAAAATGCCTCCACAAGACTGGGCCAGAGGTAAGGCTGCAACGCATTTTCTAATCAGTAATAAAGGTAAAAGGGCCCTGATCACTGTGGGTGATGCCACTCCAGGGCTGATGGTCTTGGGTGAAAGGGGGTCCTGGGTAAAAGAAAGCAGCTGCACAAGTCAGGAAGAGCAAGCCAGTGGGCAGCACCCCTCCATGGCCTCTGCTTCAGCTCCTGCCTCCAAGTTCCTGTCCTGCTCCAGTTCCTGTCCTGACTTCCCAATACTTACAAGCTGACACAAACCTTTTCCTCCCCAAATTGATTTTGGTCAATGGTGTTTTATCACAGCATTATTTTTGGTTGTGAGCCTAGCCTTTAACGGCTGAGCCATCTCTCCAGCCCTATCACAGCAATAAAAACCCTAACTAATAAGGGATATGAAAGGAGACTTTAGATCTTATAAGTGATTGTTTGTTTGTTTACTTGGGGGGAGGGATGTTTCCAGACATGGTTTTTCCGGTGTAAAAGCCCTGGTCTTGAACTTACAGTGATCCACCTGCCTCTGCCTCCTGAGTGCAGCGATTAAAGGCCTGTACTACCATGCCTGGCTAGATTTAAATGCAAACATTGTTTTTTATCTCTCTGTGCAAACTTAGATTGTACTATTAGAAGAATAAAGCAAGATAAGATGGAGAATCTAAGATATCATCAACCGCAAAAGGGAAAATCCAGCAGCAGCTGCAGCAGCAGCGAACGATCACGTCTCTGCAGTAGAGGGAACGAGAGTGACTAAGACAAGGAGGATGTTAGCGAAGACACTCATGTCCTTGTGGGGAAGCACAGGTGGCATCTGCACACAGGAACAAGGGTGGAGACCCTCAACAATCCCATGAGCCTCGATTTTGCCCTTGAAATTCATGAAACACAAGGTCCAACTGCTTGCTTTCCAATTTCCCTAAATGACTGCTAGGATGAGTTAAATGCCATAGTAACCCAAGAAGAATGGATGCTGGGATTAAAGGTGTGTGCCGCCCGCCCGCCCCCCCCCCCCCCGGGGGGTACACACTTTTAATCCCAGCACTCGGGAGGCAGAAGCAGGTGGACCTCTGAGTTCGAGGCCAGCCTGGACTACAAAGGGAGTTCCAGGACAGCTAGGACTACACAGAGAAACCCTGTCCCAGGGTGGGGCAAAGTATGGTCACAGCTCAGATGACTTTAAGGACTTCACTGATGCACTAGATCTTAGGTCTGAGACTCGTCCAAATTGTATCAGCATTCTCATTTATATCAAGTTCTCAGGAAATCAACAGGCTTACTATAGTCATCTGCTAGCCTCAACCTGGCATGCACAGGCTCTAGTTTGTGCCCGGGACCCTGGTGAGATGGCAGGTGGGGGTGGGGTTAAAAACAGCAACAACAGACCCAGGCTAGTTCTTAAACCGTGGGGCTAATTAAAAAGAACCAGAATATTGAAAATGGAATGACAATAAGTTTTGCCTCTGTAGTTAATATATATATATTCCTCCCCCCGCTCCCCAGCTGAGGACCGAACCCAGGGCCTTGTGCTTGCTAGGCAAGCACTCTACCACTGAGCTAAATCTCCAACCCCATATAGTTTTAAACATCTATCCACGAATTTACAATGCAACCAACACTATTTTTTCACATTATTCTTCAGAATTACTTTTTTATTACAATTTTTGAATTGATTTGTGTACCTGTGTGCACTCGCATCTGCACACGTGCATAGAAGGACACCTGCAGGAGTGTGTCCTCATCTTCCACACTGTGGGGGGTCCCAGGGGTCTTAGTCGGGTTGCCAGGCTTGGTGGCAAGCACCTCTTCCCTCCCAGTCATTTTGCTGGCCCCTTTCTATAACATTTGAACGGACACTGTAGCCACGGCGCAGTACTTTTCCATTCGACACCTAGGGACGATGGCAGTCTGTAAGATTGGTCTACGTATGCACGCACGCAGGTGCACTCAGCCACGCGGGCTGTGGAGAAGCCAGGGGTGGACTCCAGCCTTTCTCACGTGCTTCCCTTCCTTATGGCAAAAGCAGTCTCTCTCACTGAACCCAGAGTGTGTGTTTGGATAGACTGGCTGGCCAGTGAGCCCCACGGCAGACGCCTGTCTCTGAGCTCCAGTGCTGGGGTTATAGGCACATGCCACCATATCTGTTCTCTGGGTTTTTTGTTGTTGTTGTTGTTGTTGTTTTGAGACGGGGTTTCTCTGTGTAGCCCTGGCTGTCCTGGATCTCACTCTGTAGACCAGGCTGGCCTTGAACTCACAGAGATCTGCTTGCCTCTGCCTCCTGAGTGCTGGGATTAAGGCGTGCACCACCACCGCCCGGCGACCGTGCCTGTTGTTTCTGTGGGTGGAGACCCCCATTCAGGTCCTCATGCTTGCACAGTCAGCACCTCACCCCTGGAGCCTCCTCCCCAGCTATAACGACTTTGTTTTAAGTAAGAATTATTTGACATTTATTCATTTTGTATGTGTATGCACATTCAAACACCTGTGCCACAGCACGTGTGTGGGGGTCGGAGAACAGCCTGTGGGACTCGGGTCTCATCTTTTGCTATGTGGGTTCTGGGGGTTAAACCCAGGTCATCCGGGTTGGCAGTAAGCACCCTTACCCACTAATCCACCCTGCTGGCCCCATACTGATTTTGTAGTGATGAAGTACATACACCCTGTCAGAAAATGATCGGACATTTAACAGTTCAGAAGCAATTATTTCTTTCTTCCTTTTTAGACTGATAACCTCCAAGAAGTGAATTAAATTTCTAAAATGTCTAATTTTCAAGAACAAATCAACTATTCTCATTTCTTACCACCGACAATATAGACCATAAGCACAAAGTTTACACTCCTTGAAAGAACCTGAATAAGGACTTTTAGAGTTTCATATGTGAGAGCATGTATTAAAATCACTCTCTTCATAGGGGAGCTCCACTCTGGCTTGCCCTCCAGTGTACTACATAGACTACTACAGACTACTTCCTAGGCTCCTTCCGGTAACACCAATGCACAGCCACTCAAAATATGCACTGCAGCTTCAGATGTGACCCCTACCCTTTTGTCTTCTTCCTGGACAGTAAAAAGAGAACATCTGAACTGTGATGATGGACGAAGAAGGCTTATCCTTCCATTACTGCATTTTATTACAACTTGCAATTTAGCTATAAACGTATTTGAAGGCAAGTGTTGATTCATTACGGTGGGCCACAAGTTGAGACTAAAGTCACCATTTAAGGACTAGGCAGTATTTACACCTGTTCTCATTTCAAAGGCTGACAGTGCTGCAATCACATGGTTTCCAGCTAAAAGGCAGTCGTTACCCTGCACAATTAACAAGCAGATGCCCAGAGTGCCAGCCTCGGGCGCTTAAAGAGACACCACTAAAACCTTAATGCTTATGAAGAGCAGACAGACAAGAGCACGTGTTCTCGGAGGTGGGAGTGGGGGTAAATGATTAATGGGACTTGAAAGGGTTTGGAGCCAGATAACGGTGATGGCTCAGTACTGCAAAGGTAATCAGGGCCACCAACTGCACGCTTAGAGGTGGCCAAAGTGTAAATTTTATATTTTATATAAATATATAAATATTTACTACATAAAAAAAAGCAAGCAAGCAATACAATTATATGTATTCCTACCCCGTTAGGAGGGCTAGAATAGCCTAAGGTTCAGTCTTCAGTGGTAGCTTAGCATGTGATTGCTGAAACGCTCCGTATGTTTCTATCTTAGTTATAAACCTCTACAGGTAAAACCACTGAATAAGTCGGCACAAACAAAAATGACTTGCCTGACTGCTTTCCTCTTTTCCTGTTGATCGGAAGAGACGTACGCCTTCATCTCATCAGTCGCCCGACGAAGCTGAACTTCCAGGTTCTAAAGGCAAAGACAGGCTTCAGGAAGTCTTTACTGCTGGGGGAACTCAGAAGGGGCCTACAAAATGGCTCAGCAGGTAAAGGTACCTGCCACAAAGTCTAACAACCCGAGTTCCATTGCCAGCACCAACGCAGTCGGAGGAGAGAAGGGAGTCCTGCAAGTTGTTCCCAGACCTCCACAGCTGCCCCCGGGCACATGGTGCTCACGGGCACACACAGCCACAACCAATCAACCCATCAGTCCATCAACCAATGGAATAAGTTTTTGACCTCCACAGCTGCCCCCGGGCACATGGTACTCACGGGCACACACAGCCACAACCAATCAACCCATCAGTCCATCAACCAATGGAATAAGTTTTAGCCAGGCCTGGTGATGCATGTCTTTGATCCCACCCCTCAGAAAGCAGAGGCAGGCAGACCTCTTTGAGTTCGAGCCCAGCCTGGTCTACAGAGTGAGCTTTAGGTCAGTCAAGACTAGATCAAGAGACCCTATCTTAAAAAACAAAAACAAACAAACAAATGACAATATTTAAAATTTTCAGGAAGGCTTCTGATGCACATTCTTTGTCTTACCTTAATCACACAGTTCGTATAATGGTATTTACTTTCCTCCTGAATACATTCTTCACGGAGCGCTCGCACTTCCTGCAGTAGAGAATGTTAAATGGGCAGCAGGTTATTGAAAGGATACAAGAGAAGTTGGCTTTACATGCACACCAGAGGAGTGAGCATCAGAATCACCTCCCAGCACAAGCTCTACTACAGTAATGGCGTGGCTACCACCGCTCCCAGACTACTAGCACTTTCTAGCCTGCGGCTGCAGTGACTCAGTCACTAAGCTCTACTGTGACCAGATTCTGCTAAGAGCTAGGGACACAGCACTGAGGAAAACAGTCAGGTCTCTGCTCTCCTAAACAAGGAAATAGGAATGAAGGATATTTCCGATGAGAACAGGTGTTATGTGGGGTCCATGGCACAGGAAGGTGCACCAGGCTGATGAGGAGATGGGAAACACTAGGGAGAGTGATCAGAAAAGTCTTTGAGGGGCTGGAGAGACGGACGGCTCAGCAGTTAAGAGCACTTGACTGCTCTTTCAGAGGTTCTGAGTTCAATTCCCAGTGACCACATTGTGGCTCACAACCATCAATAGTGGGATCAGATTCCTCCTGGTGTGCATGAAGACAGAGCACTCATAAACATGAACAAATAAATCTTAAAAAAAAAAAAAAGACAGAAAGAAAAGTCTTTGAGGAGGCGATGACTTTCAGGCTGAGATCCATGTGATGAAAATAAAAGGGGAGAGAAGACAGAGTGTCCCTGCAGAGAGAAGAGTACACACAAAAGCCTGGAGGTGGAACTGAGCTTGGCCAGTCTGGAGTGCCGGACAAGGAGGACCGCAGGACACCGGTATGACCTCGACAAGGCAGGCGGAGCCCCGCACAACAGAATCTGGAGGTTAACTTTCACTCTAGTGCAGCGGGAAGTCAACGGAGGGTGGCCTATATTGGAAACTAGTTTCTTTGTCTGCTCTAGGAGATCAAATGTAGGAAGACAAGAGCATCGGACAGATGGTTACTACAGAGTCGGGGCAAGAAAATATGGTACGGATGGAAAAACTCAGTGTATGAACATAGAGTTTAAAGGAATCAAGATTTCTGATGCTTTGGAGGCAGGCTAGGAGATGACGATAAAGAATGTAAGAACTGAGGGAGTGAGAATGTCACACATGGGTAGCTTTTGCTAAAGGGTTGAAATAAACTCCCTTCTTACCTGTTCTAATTTGGACCGGTTGCTTTCAAGGCCTGCTGCGCAGCTGTCATACTGGGCTTTCTTCTCGTCACACTCCTGGGTCAGTTCCTAGTTTGAAAGGGGCAAATGATGAAGTGAAAAACAAGCGCATAAAACGTGGCTCCGAAACAATGCACGTCCTTGTCAGTCTCGTAACTGAACTCTAAGCACCTTGGCATACTGACGAGTTATTTATACAACAATCGGACATTTGAGAATTATGACAGATGGAGGTGCTGATAAGAATAATAGCTACCATGTCCTCATCTGTGTGCCAGGCTCTTGCTTAGGAGCCGGGAATACAACAGTGAACAAAACAGCTAAGTAATGCTCAGAGCACACAGGTTCTAAGAGCTTCAGTGGACAGATGCAGCCTGGACAGGAGCACACAGGACTCTCAGACCTAATCCAGGCTTGGGGGTCAGTGGGGCCGACTTCCTGGAGAAACTGATATCTACACTGAGAAGGAGGGATTAGTAAGAATGGGTAGGGTAAGGTGAGCAAGGGGAAGGACATGCTTTTTAAAAAAGAAAAACAAATGGAATAACGGGTGTGAAGGATTGGAAGCAAAGGGGAAGGAAAACTCAGGAGCGTATGAGCAGCCCATTGTCAGAGTGGGTCTGAGAGTGTCCAGAGAAGAGGAGAAAGATGGACAGAGAGCATGATGAGAACTTTCTGAACCCTATCAGGGCCCAGGAACTGGGCCCTGGACAATAGTGAAACCTTCCAACAACATCCTGAAGGAGGCACTGACTGTTACTTCCACACGATGCTCAGAGATGACTCAGAAAGACTACGGCTGTGAAGGGCAGAGTCAGCGAGAGCTCAGGCTCCTTTAGGAGTTTCCAAATGTAGTCACACATTTTGAGGGAGATAATCTAAAAATCTGCTGCAAATACACAGGGATGCTAAGTATCTGTAAATACTTGCTAAAACCCAGAGCTGAACTGAATTGCCGAGGAAGTGGGATCATCGGAACTAGAAACCCGACACGGACAGTGGCTCTCTTCGGGAAATGAGTCAGGACGGCAGAGGGGTAGTGATATTCACAGGGTAGAGGAAACCACTGGGGACACGAGGGTGAGGAACTGGAACTGAGGACCCCATGGCAGACCCAAGCTGATCTCAATGTGGGAACTTCCAAAGGGTCAGGGGTTAAAGAGTAAGGGTCAAATCAGCCTTGGTTCCACACAGTAGCATTCTTGGATACGAGCGAGCACCGCCGTGGAGGAGTCGTGTGGTACGTGCTGTCTCTGTTGTGTGGACTCCATATGGCTTGGGTACATTTCTACAACAAGAGAAAGACTAAGAGGATCTGTGTGTATCAAAACGAGCTAAGGGAGGCCAGTGAGATGGCTCAGTGGTACCAGCACTTGGTGACAGGCCTGACCTCCAAATTCAATCCCTGGGACCCATGCAGCAGGGAAAACCGACTCCCACAAGTTGTCCTCTAACTCCCATGCAAGTGTATACACACACACACACACACACACTACAAAATAAATGGATGTAACAATCATCTTAAGTAGGAAAAAGGGCAGCAGCTGTGTATACTTCAACAGCTTCTCAATAAGATGAGCTTGCTACAGTTGATGACGGAGCCTCCTTTAAAACAAACAAACAAACAAACAAACAAACAAACAAACAAACAGGGTATTACTATGGAGTTCTGGCTGGTCTGGAACTTAAACTTAGTATGTAGACCAGTCTGGTCTCAACCTCAGACATCTGCCTGCCTGCCTCTGCCTCTGGAGTGCTGAGATTAAAGACCTGTATCCGTATCCCAACAACTGACCGATGACAGCTTTTTTTTTTTCTTTTCTTAGTCTGTGAATTTGAAATCCAAATCAATCAAGATACAGCATGACTGCAATGGGTGCCTGAACTCAGGCTGACTAGAGGTTTAGGTCTCTCCACCCACATGGGCTAACAACTTGCAAGCCGAGGTATTAGCCCCAAACTAGAATTGTCCTCGCTTCTGACGATTCTAAAACTTTAGACCAGATAACTGAATGACCACCTCCTGCTACCAGGATTCAAGACCTACACAATCCATGGGGCATGGTGGCACATGCCTGTAATCCTGGCTTTTAGGAGGCTGAGAGAAGAGGAGGAGTGTGAGTCAGTCATACTCTGTTTCATACAATAAGAGAGACAGACATTAGTGTGCACACACATACACATAATAAAATAAAATGAATGAACCAAAAAATAGAATTTGAGGGTTGGAGAGATGGGTTGAAGGCGAGGCTCACAACCAGAGGGCTTGAGTTTGGTTGCCAGCACCCATGTCAGGAGGCCCACACCTCTTTTGACTCCAGCTCCAGGGCATCTAATGCCCTCTTTTGGCCTTTATGCGCCCCCATACAAACAAATGAACGAACGAACGAACGAATGAATGAATGAACGAACAAACAAACGAATGACCTTCAGGGAGCGTGACAGCTTGAAAGAAAGGTGTGAAATATAGGGAGCAATGGTGACCACTGGTAACCCTGAGGTGAATCTAAACCAGACATGGCCTATAAAGTGGGAATTAAGACAGTAAAAACCCCATGATAGCTACTCTCAGAGATGGAGAGATAAGAAGAAAATAAAATGCCAGAGGACACCACCACCTGTGTGTGGGGAGGACTGGGGGTGTTAAATTATTCCAAAAAATCTGTGTATTGGTAAATGATGTTACTTAACCTTAGTGTTTATTAAGCCAAGAATAAGTGTGAAAAAGGGGAAATTATAAGCAAAGTAGAGGACAGAAAGGAAGGAAATAAAGGAAGAAAAATCAGCTCCTGGAATGGAAGGGGGACGGGAAGAACTTAAGCAAAGAACCAGCACGGTACGCAGGATACACAAGAGGAAAAGTCCAGACACCCACGATCTGAGTAAACGCAGGGCAGCACAGCCACACAAAGGCCAGCTCTCTGTGTGCATAGACACACAGGACATCACAAGGGCACCAAAAGCTGAGTGAGAAGAACTAAAAGGGATGCACCAAGCAACACGAAACCTGCCTTACCAGCTTCATGAGCAAAACAACCCCAGGAAAAGCATCAAGAGTAACCTCAGAAACCATAAAGAGAAGACAGCTTACCAGGAAAGGATTTTTGTTTGTTTGATTTTGTAAGCAGTTTTTAGGTGTGGTAAAACACACCACACATGGAGTTTATTATCTTGGTGGTGGTGGTTTTTGTTTTTCAAGACAGGGTTTCTCTGTGTAGCCCTCCCTGGCTGGCCTCAAATTTGCTCTGTAGACCAGGTTGGCCTTGAACTCAGATCCGCCTGCCTCTGCTCCTGAGTGCTGGGATTAAAGGTGTGCACCTCCACCACCTGGCAATTTTCTTGTTTTTAAAAAAAGTTGCTAGGAGCAAGTGGGAGAATGTCAAGGGATGTCTCTCCCAGCTACAACAGTGTGACATAATCAAAGCACACAGGCAAACACTGAGAAAGACATCACTATAGTAACAAAACTCTGCTGCCAGAGGAGGCGAAGAAGTTAAAAAACAGTGAGAAGTTAGTAAGACCAAACCAAACCAGTTTCCTCGCTTTTCAAGGTGGGAGTTAATAGATGCTATCTAAGGAAATGAGTGATTAATACAGTTAGACACACACTGGCTAAGACAAAACCACAAGCTAGAACACACAGTCACAGCTTTTAAAGGGGAGAAGTCTGTGCCGAGAGAAAAGGCCTTACCATAAGGTAACAGGGCTTCTGTAGACTGGGGATTTAGCAGCTTAGTGAAGGAACTGGATGGGACATGAGGCCATGCCTTAGGCCCGGGATGGAGAGAAAGCTGCAGAGGGGCGTGGCTGCCCCCTCTATAGCAGCAGCCTCTGTGGTCCAAGATGACCTCAATTCCCTTCCACCCCAGGCTACTTCAAGGGCTGGGTTGCAGGTGTTTGCCACAGGCCCAGTTCCATTCGGTGCTGGGGACTGAGCCTAGGGTTCTGTGCAGGCCAGGCAAGCACTCTACCAAGTGAGCTCTGCATCCCTACTCCATTTTCTTTCCCTTAAACATTCTGTGCAGCTTGAACTATGCAGAGTTTTGGGTTTTTGTAGTTTTTTGAGACAGGATCTCCTGGAGCCCATGATGGATTCCGGCTCAAGATGGAGCTATAACTAAGGATGACCTTGGACCTCTGGTCCTCCCAGCTCCACCACATTCAGCTTAGCTTTACTTTTAAGAGAAAAAAAGCAATGACTCAATGAAAAGTATTTCAAGAAAACTAAATTATCAGCTCGTATACTTTAACCTGATATATTAGCAATTACATGTAATTATTTCATTTAATTACACAGCTATACAATTGCCTCTAAGAGAATAAACTTTTCAAGACGCTGTTCTAGTTACAGATGATTTTTTTATTTTTATTTTTAGGTTTTTCGAGTTAATTTTTATTTTAATTAATTAATTAATTAAATTTTTTGGTGTTTCGAGACAACGTTTCTCTGTGTAGTTTTGGAGCCTGTCCTGGATCTCGCTCTGTAGATCAGGCTGGCCTCAAACTCACAGAGATCTACCTGGCTCTGCCTCCCGAGTGCTGGGATTAAAGGTGTGCGCCACCAGCTGCCCATAGTTACAGATTATAAAAATTTAGATAAATTGTAGTTGTAAATCTTGAATTGATGATACACTTGATTTTAAATAGTTGTAATATTCAATTTTAGAATGCATTCTAAGTGTAGTAGTTAATTGTAGAATTCCCTAAATACTTGAGGGTAGCCCATTAAAGTTAGAAGTTTACAATATTTTAAAATACTCTTGGTCTTTACACATATGATAGTGTCACCAGACATGATGTGACGGCTACACAAATACTACATAATAGAAGAGAAAGACCATGTCTTAAAAAAAATAAAAAATGAAGAAGACAATTTCCAGGCTAGAGTCAGACCCCTACTTTCGTCTCCCATTTGTCTATCTGATAAGCTACTAAACCTATCTCAGACTGCATGGCATTCTCTGAAAGAAGGAAAGTCTGTCTAACTGATTCCACAGTCTCTGTGATTTTCCACTCCGGGGCTGACGCTGACAGATGGTGTTCACGTAGAGCTGGCTTTCTAGCTCCATCCTCAGGCACAGGCAAAATGGCTCACACTCAAACGTACAATCACTTCAGAGAACGATGAGGGAGGAATTGCTGATGCCAAACGGCAGAGGCCGCCGGATCCCGCTGGGGAGGGCACTTGTCTTCTGACAGTCCATCTTCAAAGCAGTGGCTAGCCTCAGCATCCAAGTAACGGCACCTGGACTTACCCTGCTGTCCTCTGCCTCCCCACGCCTGCCAGGACAGTAAGCCTGCCATCGATGGCTGACTTTAGTGATGCCCTGCCTTTACCTGGCCACAGAGAATCGGGCTTAATTCTTACAGCTCTCAAATGCAAATGATTTAAAAGAAAATTTTAACCTGGCTGCAGTTTGTACTTCCATTTGAATTCCTCCTCCTCCTCCCAACCCTCATTAATTTAAGACAAAGTAAGCAGCATCAATTCAGTAAAACCTCTGTGGCCCACGTAATCACTGGCTTATGTCACAGCAACGCAGGAACAATAATTTCCTTTCCACTTTCTCCCAATAAAATACTTCGAGTCCCCCTAGTCCATCTGAGCAAGACAGAGCTAAACACATCTCGGAGTCAAACTTACCTGGCCTTTCTCCCGCAACTGTCGGAGTTCTTTTATGACTGGGGCCAGAGCTGACTTCTTTTCCGACACCAGGGAATTCAGTTTTTTCACCTGTCATTTAAAACAAAAAATATGACATCTACAAAAATGAAAAAAAAAAAGGCTACATACATAAAAATACTATTGCAGTTGAATAAAGATTTAAAGAAAATAAAACCTGTCAATTACCTCAGTGCGAACAACAGGAAAGGGATTTAGTAAATGTTAATTTCCTTTTTCTTTCTTTCTTTCTTTTTTGTTTGTTTGTTTGTTTTCTTTTTGCGGGGTGGTGTGGTGTGGTGGGGGTGGGTGGGAGGTGGGAGGCAGGAGACAGGGTGTCATTATGTAGCTCTGGCTGTCCTAGAACTCACTATGTACACCAGGCTGGCCTGGAACTCAGAGAGATCCTCTTGCCTCTGCCTCCCAAGTGCTGGAACTAAAGGTGTGTGCTACTACACATGGCTAGTAGATGTTAACTTTTTTTTTTTTAAGATTTATTTATTTATTATGTATACAGTATTCTGTCTGCATGTGTCCCTGCAGGCCAGAAGAGGGTCTCATTACAGGTGGTTGTAAGCCACCATGTGGTTGCTGGGAATTGAACTCAGGACCTCAGGAAGAGCAGTCAGTGCTCTTAACCACTGAGCCATCTCTCCAGCCCAGATGTTAACTTCTTAGCAAGGTGAAATGCCACTTACTGGTTCCAAATGTCAATGATTACGATTGCAAAGCATGATGAGGAAATGTTTGTAATCTAACACTGACTGCATAAAGAAACTACGAAGTTACCTATAGCCACTATAGTGATACAGTCTGTTAAGACACATGCATCCCAGGAGGTCATGTAAAATACACATAAATATGCATGGGTGAGTTCCAATATACTTAATCTGAATTAAGAGCAGGGGTCCTGAAGGCTTCCTCTATACTAAATACTAATCTTTTCTTAGGAACTAGATTTGGGCAAAACCAGAAAGTTCTAGGATAATACCCAAGGTAGTCTCTGAGTTTGGGGCAGCAACCATTTACCAATAGTGAAAGATGTCAAAATTATGATGCCTGATGAAAATGTCCCAGTGCATTTGGAGGACAGCAGCCCTGAATCTGAAACATTGAGGGTATACACAAAGATGAAGTAATTCTAGTACTTATTTTTACCATAAATACTTCTTCAATGCTATATTAAGATACAAGGTATTCACTGTTTTAAGTTGAACAATCATATTGCAATGGAAAAATTCAAGAGATTGATTTTTAAAAAAATAGATGAAAGAATGTAGGAAGAGAGTGAAGTCTTGAATAAATGTATGTTGTTGACATGAGCCAAGGACCGACGCCTGAGTCCCAAAGGAGGGACAAAACCTTCCTCTGGTCTAAGTGCGAAAGTTGACAGTGTGTGCAGAACCTGTCCTCCACCATAGCTTTCTCCCTGTAGCTGTTTACAGTCTGAAGACTGATGCCCTACAGAGACTGCCCCTATTAGCTCAACCCGCCCCCTGGTTCAGCGGTACATAGGAAACAGCTAAGCGTGGTGTGGGGTTGCAGCCTCCCTATCCACGAGCTCAGACCACCTGCCCCCCTTTTCTGCACACGTGCCTGTGTGTCTGTCTTCACTCCCTCACTGCCCCAGTTAGCTCAACCCCTGGAGCCATGCAAGCATGTGGCAAAAGAGTATAAAGTAAACACTGTATAAAGACTAATATTTAAATGTTTAACTGAAGATTAGATATAAAAAAACTGCCTTCTAACCATATAAGTCAATAAAATATACAAGACAGAGGTGTCATTACCATTTCAGACATGTCGTCCAGGGTTCGGCCTTTCATCTCATCAACCTCACTCTTGAGGGCGGACACCCTTTCCAGCTCTTCTTGGGTGTAACTGTACCCAGATACACCCTTCTTCTCTTCAATAGTTCGCTGGAAGAAATGAAAGGCCATGAGTGTTGACATCTTTTTCCCATGAGAAGCGCTTTCTATTTCTGCTGAAAAGTTGTGAATGATAAATTTGCAGAGAGACAATCTGCACTCACCTCACTCATTATTTCATCCAGGAACACGTCTTTATTCACTCTAAACCTACGTTCACAGTTGCCACGCTCTCTTCAGAAGCACAGGAAGTATATCTAATTTCAGACTCTCAAATAATGCTATATTCTCAGTGTGGAACCTGAACCACATGGTGTACTCAGTAAGTATTCGGTGAACGCATGCATTCCTAAGTGACAAGTTGTATTCATTCACTCATCTGGCACTTCTGATACACTAGCTTTTGGTTCTAGGCACCAGTGGAGAGCAGTAACAAAAAAGGAGAGGGACTCTTCCCTCAGAAAGCTTATTTCTAGTGGAAATAAGTACACAATACAAAGAGAAGCAAGTAGACCATATTCAAGGTGACAATAGACTTGGAAACTTAAATCAGAAGGTTGTTAGAGAATGTGTAGGACATCTGAGTAAAGCTATGAGGAAGTATGGAAGTGGGACTCCAGCTACGGAGTAGCAATGCTAGTTCGGAAGAAAACATGTGAGGGTAACATCCCGGAAGACGAGAGAAAAATGTGTTGCATATGCACGCGTATGTGAGGTTGCGTATGTGTGGAGACCAGAGGCTGACCCCAGGTGTCCACCATAGTTTTGTGAGACAGTGTTTCTTGCTGAACCTGGAGCTCAGCAATTTGGCTAGACTGGCTTGCCAGGGAGCCCCAGTGATGGTCCCGTCTCTGCCTCCCTGGTGCCAGGATCACAGGCTTGGACTGGTGCACTTGACTTTTACTTGGGTTCTCGAGCTTACAGGGCAAGCACTTTACTGGCTGAGTCACCTCCCTAGTGCCTGAAGAAAAACGTGCCAGGGAAGAAGGGATGCTCAGCTATGTTAAATGCTGCTAAAGGGTTGAGAAAGAAAAGGACTCACAATCGAAGGTACTTGTGATCTAATGAGAATGTGGCATGGTAAGTTTTAAAACCTTACTGGAAAGTGGGGCAGTGGTGGCGCATGACTTTAATCCCAGCAGAGCCAGGCGGACCTCTGTGAGTTCGAGGCCAGCCTGGTCTACAGAGTGAGATCCAGGACAGGCACCAAAACCACACAGAGAAACCCTGTCTTGAAAAAACAAAACAAAACAAAACCTTATTGGAAGCCAGGCATGGTGGCACATGACTGTAGTTCCAGAACTCAGAAGACTGAGGCAGGAGGATCAGGAATTCAAGGCCAGCTCTGACTACATAGTGAGTTTTAGGGCAGCCTAGTCTACACAGAAGACCCCATCTCAAAGAAGAATAAAAAATACCATTGGAGAATATTCCAAACAGGTAGTGGTGGCGCACACCTTTAATCTCAGCACTTGGGAGGCAGAGCCAGGAGGATCTCTGTGAGTTCAAGGCCAGCCTGGTCTACAGTGTGAGATCTAGGACAGGCACCAAAACTACACGGAGAAACCCTGTCTCAAAAAACAAAAAACAAAAATAAATAAATAAATTCATTCCAAAGGGTTGGATTTCTGGGCTGCCAACAGGACTAGACATAAAAGAGAAGAAGGAATCACAGAGAATGAGCTTACAATTCTGTACACAGTTTCGTCTATAGGCAAAATCAAACCCCTAAGCTGTGCACAACCGAGGAAGATACTCAGAAACGGGATATGACTGCTTAAGAGATGGACACAGATTTCAACATTTTCACCATACGAGGAAGACAGAGGTAGCAACTCAAGACTTGTCAACATATAGGGGTGCTGGTAAGTGTCCCGTCTTCCAGCTAATGCCTCAGAAGGGCTGCATCTTAGAAGCACAGGTATAACCTCACAGTCAGATCTGGGCCCAACAGTAACAACCAATTCCAAGGAATAAAGTCCCTGATAGAGGCATAAGGACTGCATCCTTATGAATACTGAAAACTAGAAAAATATCAGCTCTAATGACATCCCTCAACTGGATTAAAGTGATGTGAAAGGAAAAAAAAATAAATCCTGCCAGGCGGTGATGACATATGCCTCGGGAGGCAGAGGCAGGTGCATTTCTGTGACTTTGAAGCCAGTCTGGTCTATGAAGTGAGTTTGAGGACAGCCAGAGCTGTTACACAGAGAAATAAAAAACAAAAACAAAGACAAAGCCGGGCGGTGGTGGCGCACGCCTTTAATCCCAGCACTCGGGAGGCAGAGGCAGGCGGATCTCTGTGAGTTCGAGGCCAGCCTGGTCTCCAAAGCGAGTTCCAGGAAAGGCGCAAAGCTACACAGAGAAGCCCTGTCTCGAAAAACCAAAAAAAAACAAAAAAAAAAAAAAAAAAAAAAACAAACAAAAACAAAACACAAAGACAAAAACCCAGCTCCTTTGGAAGGAAAATCACAGCCAGGGCCATGAAAATATAAACACGAGGAGCCTGACAGCCAATAAAAATTACAGATAAATAAAGAAAGGTAGCGAACCAGGCCTGGAAAGACGGCTCAGCAGTTAAAAGCACTTGCTGCTCTTATAGAGGACCCAGGTTTGGCTCCCAGCACTCACATGGCAGCTCACAACCATTTGTAACTCTAGTTCCAGGGGATCGGATGACCTCTTCTGACCTCTGTGGACACCAGGTACACATGTGGTCCACATACATATATACAGGCTAAAGACTTACACACATAAAAAATACAATAAATCTCAAAAAATAAAAGAAGGTAGCAAAACACAGAACAATCAACAATCCAAAGTGACTCACTATGAGAAACAGTAATAGGGAATGAAAAAAAAAAAGAAGAGAAGGTGAAACACATAATCAATAAAAAAAAGGGGGGGCTGATGAGATGGTTCAGGGGTGAGGGCACCTGCTGCAAAGCCTGGCGAGTCTGATCCCTGGGGCCCACGTGGTGGAAGGAGAAAACAGACTCCTAGAGGTTGTCCTCTGACCTCCACACATGCCGTGACACACGCACACATATGAACAAACACGACAGACAGACCAATGTAGTATCAATAAAAATGGCCATGGGGAATGGTGACGAAGTCTACCATAGGTGTAAGTGGAGTCAAGCAAAGGGAAGAGAAACACTGATGACCGGGACAGACACAGTGGAATTAGACGTCCAGAGCACAAGAGGAACCCGAAACACCCCCAGATGTTTGACTGTCAGTCAAGGCCACGGGAATCAGGTGGAAATCAGGAGACAATCTCAACAGTAACGCAGCTATTACTGTCAGTGTTGAAGCTGGCGCTGTCGGGGTCCATGTTCGCTTCACGGTAAATTTTCAGTCCTAAGGTCCTGGAAGCAGACTATGCAAATCATCACGAAGCGGGGAAAAGTTCATATTGTCAACGACATGTGAAATGCCCTTGACCTCCGCCAGCATTACTGGGTCACAGCAGCATCCTGATGAAATCGCTTCCCCACAGGGACACAGGAGGGAAAGTGTCACACAGGAGAACTGCAGGGACCTGGCATCAGAGGAGTTCAACAGCAAAGCTTCAACTCTCACCTGCCAACCACAGCCCAAACATAAGGGCAAGGCTGCAGGCACGCTTCCCCATGGCGCCTTCCCTGGGGATTTCTTTCCAAAGCTCCTTGGAAGTGCATGTGTAGGCCATGATAAATAATGTTTTACAGTCACTCTTTTGGAATGATAATTTTACTCATATTAACTAGCTAACCAAAAGAAAAACCAACTTGGGCTTCCAACGTCTATTAATAACCCCAAAGTGAGCACACATATTTTTAAAAGGCAGTGCTCACTGCTGCATTAAAAAATAAATGAATCAGCTTATATGACATCTCTGTAATTAGTCAAAGAAAATTAATAATTATATGATTTTCCAGTAAAAACAATGACCTCAGCATAAAGTTACAAGCCATAAACCTCTTGACATTTGTGTTTTTAGCAGCCAAGATAAAGCGGTATTACCAGTTGATGCTGAATGGTTTCCTGACGTTGCTTAAGAAGCTCTTCTGTCCTTTGCAAGAGACCAAATTCAGCCTTAAATTCAGCTATTATCTGATGCTTCTTTTTGAAAACTGTACTCTTGCTTCGAAGTTTACTGACGTATCTCTTGAACTGCAAAAAGAAGTACCCAAGCATTATAAATAAACACATTTTATTAGAAAGCCTCTCCTCTCTACTTAGCAGCCCATGCATCACAAATACACAACCTAGCTTTCTTAGAAAACTCATAAAGACGAATTGCTGAATATTTATGCATTTAATGTGTGTGTTTGTGAGTACCACATGCAGGCAGGAGACAGAGCAGTCAGGAGAGGGTAACAGACGCCTCGGAACTGCAGTGACTGTTGGTGTGAGCCGCCATATTGGTGCTGTGAACTGACCCTGGTTCGTCTTTGTTTCTCCAGACAATGTCTCTCCACGCAGCCCTGGCTGTCCTAGAACTTGTTATGTAGACAAGGCTAGCCAGGCATGGGCCACCATGCCCAGCTATGAACCTGGTTCCTCTGTAAGAGCAACAAGTGCTCTTTTTTTTTTTTTTTGGTTTTTTCGAGACAGGGTTTCTCTGTGTAGCTTTGCGCCTTTCCTGGAACTCGCTTTGGAGACCAGGCTGGCCTCGAACTCACAGAGATCCTCCTGCCTCTGCCTCCCGAGTGCTGGGATTAAAGGCGTGCGCCACCACCGCCCGGCCGCAACAAGTGCTCTTAATCACTGAGTCATCTCTCCAGCATGAAGACTAACTGCTTAATTAAACTCTGTGTGTGTGTGTGTGTGTGTGTGTGTGTGTGTGCGTGTGTGTGCGTGCGTGCGTGCGTGTGTGTGTGTGTGTGTGTGTGTGTGTGTGTGTGTGTATCTTCATTTTTGAACTCAAATATTCTGAATCCTTATATAGAAGCTTTTCACTTAAAACTTCATAAATAAGTCGGGCAGTGGTGGCACACACCTTTAATCCCAGCACTCGGGAGGCAGAGCCAGGCGGATCTCTGTGAGTTCGAGGCCAGCCTGGTCTACAGAGCAAGATCCAGGACAGCCAAGCTATGCAGAGAAACCCTATCTTGAAAAACAAAAACAAAAACAAAAAACAACCCCAACTTTACAAATAAGGAAAAAACAAACAAACAAACAACTAACCGAACAAACAAACAAAACAGAAATTCAACTCTCTAACAGTACAAAGGCCTAAAGAAGGAAGAGGCCATGAGTAGCTCTGGCCTGGTCTCATCGTGGAGTTTCATGAATGACTGTGTTCTGCTAGAAGTTTACTCGATTTGCTGGGCTCAATACAGAAAACCAGGGTCAGCAACAGTGACTACTGTCACCTGAGGAATGGACTGTGGCCATTTCCTTAGGACGCATCTCTGACACAGGATAGGGACTCATCCTAAAATTGAAGAAGTTAAGAATACTGCATGAGAAACTACTGAAAAGGAACACTTCTAACACCCACTCCTCTGATAGACCATTTCTTCTTTTCTAAGCGTGTATTCTTTTTACCATAAGCAGCATTTTATTAAATATATAATGACGAAAGGTTCTATCTTAAGAACCCCGTCTGCTATAAACCACTTCCATATGAGAGCAAGCTCCTGCATTACCCAACATGAGATAGTTCATTAGCAACTGCAGAGAAAGCACAGTGCTTCTTTTTATTTTGTTTTGTTCCTGGTTTTTTGAGACAGAGTTTGTCTGTGTAGCCCTGGCTGTCCTGGAACTCACTCTGTAGACCAGGCTGGCCTCAAATTCAGAGATCTGCCTGGCTCTGCCTCCTGAGTGCTGGGACTGAAGGTGTGTGGTGTGCCACCATGCACCACTTAAATATTCGCTTTTTAAAAACTTTATGTGTATGGCTGTGTCGCCTGCACGGATGTTTGTGTACCATGTGTGTGCCTGCTGCTGGTGAAGGCCAGAGAGGGCACTGGATCACCTGGAACTAGAGTTATAGATGGTTGTGATCACCATGGGAATTGAACTCATGTCCTCTGTAAGTACAGCTAGTGCTCTTAACCACTGAGCCATCCCTCCAGCCCCATAATATTTTTATTTTATACTCATTAATGTTGAAAATGTTGCTTCACATAAACACACAGGACAAAAATGTCAGCGGTATGTTTAAGGCCATCTCAGAATTACTGAAAAATTTATTTTAATCCTAGGCTAAGGTTAATTTACCTATATTTTTCAATGAAATTCAAGACTGTAACTCATTCAGCCATTTATAAGACCAAACACTGGAATCCAATCCAATCCAAAGATAAACTAATTTGATACTTATACACTGAGGAACGACGGTGGGAAAATACGCAGTCTTTGTTTTCTATAATCAGACACTATGTTTCTGTAACAGCAGAAACTTTTGTATGGACAGTAAAAACATTACCACTCTTAATAGGCCAATGGTGTCGAATGTAAGCCATGGTGTGACGTGTGTGCAGTGCAGTGTGTATGTTTATGTTGCAAACAGGACTTCAGAGAGGTCCTGCAACACAATGAGGGTCAGCACTGCCCAAAATACTGCAGATGCATTATGTCTGGACATATTTGATTTTGAATTCATTTCGGTTATTGCATGTCCAAAAACATTTTGCTGCTGTCAATTCTTTTGTGACCCCCCAAGCTCTGCTACATCACCCCATGAACTTGGCATCCACAGTTTCAGAAAATGAGATGTAGATGATGGAAGTTCAGAATACTCTTCCTTCTTTTTCTTCACGGATTTTTGAGATAGGGTCTCCCTATGCAGTCCAGGCTAGACTGAACCTGAACACGACACTCGGCCTTGGCATTCTGAGTGCTGGTGTTACAGGCACGTGACACCACACTGGGGTTAATTATGTACTGGGGAGTTGGGAGACTGACTGTCTCAGTGTCTCTTGTAGCCAGGCTGGCCTCAAATTCACAAGGCAGCCAAGGCTGGCCTTGAACTGATACTCTTGCCTCCACTTCCCAGGCTAGGATCACAAGCATGCCTGGCTCTCCAAGTACTTCTCTATAATGAGTTAGTCTTGCTACTCCGGAATCCAGCCCCCACACAGTGAATTGTCAATGGATGGGTTATAAAAGTGGCTTGAAAAATCTGAGCCATAGCAAAGTACCTAGTCTAATAACTTGCTAATTTTCCTTTTAAAGCATAAATGTGGAAGCCTGATATAACCGACTCAGAATCCCTAGAGTAACTAACTATACATTCTATTAAAAGTGTCCTGGGCAAAGCGCCCGAAATGAAATCAGCCCTGCTCATCTGCTCTCCTGTGTAACATCTAGGCCACCTTCCCTTCTCTGTCTTGCTGTGCTCCACAACTATTTTTAAAAGCTAAAAGCTAGAAGTGCTTTGGAGGAAGAACAATTCCACATATTACTCACCGTACTCTACGAGAACTGGTTATTATTTGGCATTCACTGTACATTCTACCCAGGGGAAGGGTACAGCCAGGGTCACATGAGTCACAGTTCCACACAAAGAAGCAATAGGTGGCCATTTAGCATCTAAGTACTCTACTGCTCCTGGCTAATTAAGGAGAAAGAAACACATCACCGCCAATGTTTTCAGTCCACTGTACATTCCTTCTAATTACCACTTGGGCTTTAGGTTATTTCTGGGCTCTTAAATATCATACAAAACAATACAAACACATTGATTCTTCAAACACTTTATTTTTTTGAAACAAGGATCTTGCTATGGGACACAGGTTGGCCTGCAATTCCAGATCTTCCTGCCTTCGGAGTGCTGGGATTACAGCCTTGTGTCGCCATGCTAGCCTTAAATACACACTTCACAATTTCTGTAGGGTATTTTTCCAGAAATGGTCAAAAGGAACATGCATTTCTGATATTCTGCCAAAGTGCTCTGCAGAAGGCTATTTATAATACTTTTACAGTTGATCTGAAAAGTGAAATAAGCATCCTCTTCACCCTGCAAGTCTTCATTGGGAAGCTCGGCTTTTCATCATTTCTTGAGCACCTGCAGGGATCTTCCGGAACAGCCTGCTTGTCTCTGCTTCACTTTGTCACTGGCCTGTTGTGTCACTGCCTTGTGCATCTGGAACAGGGATTCTCAAACTTTCTGCTCTCAAATACCCTTTATGTAATCTTTGGTATTTTGCCCAGGCTGGTCTTGAACTCATCATCCTCTTGACTCTTTCTTCCGAGAACTGAGATTACAGAAGTGGACCATCATGCCCAGCCACCCTCTTAAAATGATCAAAGATCTCAAGATTTTATGTAGCTCTTATGTGGTGATATATTGTGTCCCCCAATGTATTGTGCACCCTAATAATGATTATCTGAGGATCAGAGGAAAAAGCCAGCCACTATAATACACATAGAGGTCAGGCAATGGCAGCACATGCCTTTAATCCTAGCATTTGGGAGGCAGAGATCCATCCAGATCTCTGTGAGTTCAAGGCTACACTGGGAACAGAGCCAGGCGTGGTGGCACACGCTTTGAATTCCAACACTAGTTAACCATAAAGATCTGGAGGTCTGTACAGACAGACAGGAAGTGACAGAGCTGGGTAGGAAAAGGAAGTGATGTAGCTGGGTGGAGAGAAGAAGTGAGATGGCGGGCAAAAAGGCGCATAGGCGTGGGCATACAGGAAGGGCAAAAAGGCGCATAGGCGTGAGGATACAGGAAGGGCAAAAAGGCGCATAGGCGTGGGCATACAGGAAGGGCAAAAAGGCGCATAGGCGTGGGCATACAGGAAGGGCAAAAAGGCGCATAGGCGTGGGCATACAGGAAGGGCAAAAAGGCGCATAGGCGTGGGCATACAGGAAGTAGGTCTCTCTGGAGGCTGAGGAGTTGGTGAGGCGAGGTTGGCTGTGGTTGTCCTATTCCTCTGGTCTCTCAGTTTTCACCCCAATATCTGGCTCCGGGTTTTTATTAATAAGACCATTTAGTAATTAGTCTTCCAATCTTATCTATCGATAGCTACCGTACTACAAATGAAAATCAGCAGTGTGGTATAGCACACATTCTAAAACACAAGAAGAAGCGAGCACATACTCTGTTAGCTCCCCCAGCAATGGTGTGCTCACATAGGAAGCATCTCTGAGCTCTGCCATGTACTCGTGAGCAGGTCAGGGTAAGAACAACCCTCCCTTTCCTGGTTCAGAGGAAC